ATATATATATATATATATATGTGTGTGTGTGTGTGTAAGTGTGTAATTTTATTAGAGTCGGCATTTAGACGACAATGTGATGACTTCCACCTCGTTTCGCGTATGACCACCACAAAATATCATTGTAAGACCAAGTTGCGTTTTGAGCGGATGTGGCTTTTTAAACATGACACACATTTAAAATATATGACACAAAGTTGACATGAGAAGCACACAGTTTGTTGACATTAGGTTTATTTTTGGTGACTGCGTCTTTATTCCAATTCCACACTACGGATTTCAGTACCATATATTCCATCGTCTGTGCTAGCACTTGCATTTCTGTATATGCTTGATTCTGTTCTCTCAAATTTATAGTTGTAACTTGCGCTCTGCTTTTTGCTAACGGAGATACATTCTTTTTCGTATTTTAATCATTTCACACCAAACAAGGCGATAATACCACTAAGACACAAGGGACTACTCGGAGTGGAAGCAAATAAAAAGACTTTAAATGAACCGGAAACCCAATCCTAAACAGGAAACGAGGAATAAACCTCTACTCCTGTTCAAAAGGCCGGGGAGGAGTGTGAACTAGACGATAGTCGAACCTTTCTTGAATGCTTCAAGATCCAAACCATTAGATGATTTAGACAGTACATTCTTTCTACAAACAGTTCCCCTTGGGCGTATAGCATGATAACCAAACAGCACATTATTACTAGGTCTGGGGTTCGATCCTCAATGACCGTCCCTCACTTGTAATCTTGTATTCGTGTATATTAAACTTAGTAAACACATACATCCTTTTTATTTGACATTGTGGTGTACAAAACCATGCTCAGTATATATAGCTAACAATTGTAAGTACCAAATTAATACATAAAATAATAAAAAAAAATAAAATAAAGCGTAGTTCAGGGCAGGGAAGCGTCCCCATAAAGTTGGGGGGGGAGGTGACATCAGAATGAATCCCTGATTGTGGGCTAAAAGAACTGGAAAGTTTATAGAAGTATAAGCAAGGACGTGTGCGGGACGCAACATTAATTGCGACCATGTGTTATGCCTTCCACGGAGCGGGGGGGACTGAATAAAACTTACCAACTTACTTTTCTTAGTGAATTCCATAACAGCACAATACTCGATTCATGTCGTATAGGTATTTCCGCGGCTTAAAAGAGAAAGAAAGTCTAAATGTATTGCAATTATTTAAATATCTTTGGAATTTTAATTTGGGTTTCTACTGAAAGAAAATAGCACAATGTTAGTCGTAAATAAAATACATACATACATACATACATACATACATATATATATATATATATATATATATATATATATATATATATATATATATATAAATATATATATAAACAGAAATAAAATACTTCTGTGTAATTAAAGATTTTTTCCCAAAATTACTTAGATGTCTACTGAAATTTACGAGCATCTCATGGGATGGTTGAATATGAGTGACTAAAAATGAAAAAAATTTGTTTTTTTTTACTAGCTCATATGCAAAAGATGTGAAGGTTAGAAAAAGGGATAATTTGATCAAATTCTTAATGTTCTTCCATACAGGATAAGCACATAATTTCTGTAAAGAAAAAAAAATTAAAAAGTTACAATTTTCTATATAGTGTCTCTGCTTTGGATTTTGTTTAATTCACATTTCTCTATTACTAAAATAGATTTATCTAATTGTTATGGTCGAGGTTAGGACCAAGGCAGAACAACACGAACACAAGAGTAGAAATAATGAAAGTATATTACACGAAATAATAATACAAGATGTGGAAGGTGTTAGTATGACTGTCAGTCGGCTTTGGAGTGAACTACTATCGGCTCGATTCGATCCTCTCTCTTGAGAGGCGTAGTATTCATAGTGTTAGGAAGAGTTCATTCTGTAGTCATAGGTAAGGACCCATGACACTAATAAAAACGTTTAAGGGGTTTTTAACAGTGAAGAAATAATTTTAAAACATTACGAATTATTTTTGCCCAAACTTTTCTTTTTGTTTTAATTTTCTGTTTCAAGGAATTCGCTTGAAGTCTCAAATAAAGCATTATGTGATGCAATTTTCCAAGGATATCTTAGTTGATATAATCTGTTATATATTAAAGGCAATAGTGACAGACAGAAATAGTTAATAACCTGCCTAACGATTTTTTTTGTCAATGAATGACGAAGCAGGAAATGGTAGGAATGTTAAAGAGATGAATATTACTTAAACATGAGTCAAAACTCCTGCGTGCTGAAGGGTCAAGATACATAAAAGAAAGAAGAAATTACCCCATTTGTCTGTCAGGGAACTTCTGCTAGCAACCGTTAGATGACATTGCCAAAATGCGGATTTCAGTTTGGCTTTTTCCGTTTTCCGTTGAAGCATTTCCTTGATATCTTTTTTTTTTATTACTTGCATGATTTTGTTGTCTTCAGTTTTAATTTGCATCTTTGGTTGTTCCATTATTAATCACTGTAAAACTGTGAATCGAAAAATCTAATAAAAAAGAAACAACAAAAAGCAAATGCGTGTTAAGCTCCACTTTCTTCAGAGCTCAATTGAGAATGAAATATATAAATGTACGGAGAATCATCAGTATAAATCACAGATTACAATGAGATTTTTTTCTCAGCCTCTCTCTTCTTTCGTTTTAATATATTTGCATACATTAAATATCTACCTTTAAAATGTCTGTTTTTAAAGCCATAATAAAATAAAATAATTTTTTCAACATCTGCCCACAGATCATTAAAATAAAAATAAACCCACTTCCCATCACAAAACTAGAAACCGGAAAAGGCTTAATTCTAACCCCCAGAATTCCAGAACGAAATCCTCTATTTTTTGACCGCGTAGCTTTGCGGAAATTGGATGTCAACGTATGGCTCCTTGACCCTGTGTACGATGACATGGACACAAGACGGAATAAGTACAGACATTTATCACACCTTCACATAAACAACAGCGCCCATATTTATCTACTAGTATTGTTATTACTAGCAGTCAAGAAAGTGTCTCTTGTCCTTTTTGTAAATTCCCGCCATAATCATGGCGTAACTAAGTACAAACTCTTACCATACATTCGTAGAAACAACTTTCATAAAAAGAGAGAAATAATTGACATGAACACCTTGAAAATATCACATTCATCATTCAACAGATTCATTGAGAAAATTCCTACAATATTAATTCATTTTTAATCGTTTGAAACAATTTTGTTTTTCTAACATTTTATACAGTTTTGTCTATTCGTTTATACCGTTCTTTTCTCGGTCAGAAGTGTCGCTTTTCCACTTTCCTCTGGTGATCTAATATTTCTCTGAGAGATCTTAACGCACTGTGAGCCAGATAACTACTTTATACAGTTTATACTTCCGTCACAAATGCATTCATTGATAAATGAATATATATCAAAGATTTTATTGAAATCAGAATTTAGCTGATTTGGAGAGATTTTTTTCTTTTAAAAAAAGTTTATCGCTTAAATTTTTCTCATGCAATTTCTTTTATGTCATCTATTTTATTATGTCATCTATTTTATAAAACGTGAACAAGATTTTAAGGTGAAAAAATTCTTTCTTTTAAGATAATTTTTGTATCGATTTTTTCTAATCTTTCTTTTTATTTATGGCACAAAGATTATGGCCATAAATTAACTTTTATGCAACATTATTGAACATTATTATTGAATATTATTGATAATGCCTTGATAATGCCTTGAATACTGTAGCCACATTTGGTCTGGTGCTTCTGTCGTGTATTTAGAGATTCTTGAAAAGAAGAATGTACAATATTGGTAATATCAGGTTAGGAATTATCGCCCATTGCTTCCCCGAAACCTCTGTGAAAGTTATAACTTGCATAATTGCAGAAACAAACATCTTTCAACTTACAAACATCTATTGACAAAGAACTTAATACCAGATCAGCAAAACGAGTACTGAAAAAGATCTCTGGGTACCAAAGACCAATTTGCCATTGATAAATCTGAGCTCCAAAACTGCAAGCGAGCCAAGATGTATATGGCTTAGTTTGCCTTTATGAAGGATTATGCTATGGTTTCCTATTCCTTGCGACTGAAGTGTTTACAGATGTTCGGTGTAGCCAAAATTTTAATTAGCCTTATGTAAACCAGCCTGCCTTCTCGTAAGGCTATGCTTGCGATCAACACCTTATATCGACCTCTATAGGAAGAGGAATATTTTAATGGGAATTTCCTTCCCCCCTTTATTTTTCTATGCTTGCTCTGATCCCATTATCTATAAAATCGTATAAGGGAAGACCTTGGAATGCCATCAAACGTTTCCTATTTATGGACGATCTGAAACTCTTTGCTAAGAGTGGGGCGTAGATTGACTCACTTGTGAAAACTGTGAACATCCGAGGACGTTTGTATGGAGTTTTGGAATAAGAATCGTGGTAAAAGAGTGCCTAATCATCATTTGTCGATTGTAATCGAGATCATCGGGCCAATGTGACCGATCCTTTCCTTAACCGTATAATATGAGCTACGCCAGTTTTGAATTCAGAGTTACTTTCTCCTAGACCGGTTACCAACCAAGGCCAGAGAACCTGCTATTTATTCAAAGGTGGGGGCAGAAGAAGAGGATTTATACCTTTCCCAAGGGTATTAGCAGGTAAATGAATGGATCTGACTGCAGTTCGAACTCGGCTCTACGATTCCTTAATCTGAACCGCTATCATTACTCCACCGTGCCTCCTAATACAGGGATTGCCAACAAGAGAAACCATCTCTGATACAAATATCTTTGTATTCTGAAGTTGGGAGACAGGTGAAAGAACTGATTACAAGGAGATACATAAAAAGATTAGGGCTTTTTCTGAATTTCAAGTTGTATGTCCGTAATCTTGTAAATGTTCATAAGGGCGGGGCTGTATCTGTGGTAAGTTATCGTGGAGAAATAATAAAATGAACAAAGGAAGGGTTACAAACTGGACAGTAAGACCCGAACACAGTTGTTTGAGAATCGTACTCTGCGCCAAAACGCGACTGTGATGAAACTGTACACGTCACTAAAAGAAGTGGGTAGGCGCCTTATCGTAGGCAGAACGAGTAAACGTAGGTTGTTGGACTTGTACCTAATAAACAACGAATAGACCCCCTTAAAGTACGTAGTAAAATAAACAAAAAACTTTGTGAAATAGAACCCGAGGGCCAAAGAAGAATACAAGAAGAGGGCAGTGAAAGAGAAATTACGAGCAAGAGAGGGCAATGACACTTTCAATTTGAAAAAAGATACAACGGCGGCTAAGACAAAAGATTCGCTCGATTGATCGACGAAAGGCGAATTGTAATGCGAGACAGTAAGTTTATTTGTAGTCCAATCCCTAAATAATAATTCTGTTCAGAAGAACATCAACGGATAAGTGGATTGGGACAAGAGCAGACTGTGTGACATGGAGGTGGCAAATGTCACACACATCATTATCGTCTGTGGAATGCTTGCTTAAAAAAAAGAATACAAACATGTCTATGATAAGATGGACTTGAAGTCGAATAGAAATGGTACCGTCACAAGCCGGAGAAGGTGATCGAAGACGGCCAAGTCAAGGTTTTGTCGGATTTCAACATCCAGCCGACCGCGTTCTTGAAGCCACCAAACCAGACATCGTTAACAGAAATACAGGAAAATGCCTCATCGACGTGCCTGTTCCTAGTGAACATAAAAAAAAAGTAAAAGTAAAAGATTTTGTCAAGTTTAAGTTTCCGGGTTGAAGATGATACAACATGGAACGTTCAGGTCACTATTGTTCTAATTATCATTGGGGTCTACACCACTGAACTTAAAGTCCTATTTTGAAAAAAAAAAAACTAATAAAACCTAGTATCCCATTGCTTCAGAAGTTTATGTTGCTTGGCACAGCAGATATTCTGCGAAAGGTGATAACTGTCTAAGGTCCTACGAGTTGGTGGAGTGAACCCATAATCCGTGATCTCCGGTTGTAGCCAAAGCGACTTGAGCGTTATATTTTACATATTTGGGAACCCCTTCAATTGGGGACCGTCGGAGTTGACTGGCATACTCGACCTGAGAGTATTTCTAACTGAATACTAATTCTTTTTAATCAATTCGCCCCAAGCAAGGCGTTAACGCTACTAAGACGCAAAAGGCTACTGGGAGTGAATGAGAATGAAAAGACTCTAGAAGGAACCGGAAATCCAATGCTAAAAATGAAATAAGGGATAAACTTCTATTCCAGTTCAAAAAGCTGGGGAGGAGCGTGAACCGGATGTACTGCTTTTATAAACACTTATCACGCTAATTTGGCTGTTGTATTTAGTATACTCTTAATTGGTTATCATGATGGATATATATGGTCATCCCATGAGTTCTGTCTGAATTTTGAATAAAGAAAACAAATGACCAAATGTTACATTTAATTACAGATTCAATCAACAATGTATTTTCCCTGATTATCTATGACTTCCTTCCATCTATTAACAAGCTTACTAATTCCATTACTGTAAAATTCTTTTGGCTTTGATTCAAAGAACTCACAAATGTCAGTTTTAACCTCTTCCTGTGTTACAAAAGCTGTTTCTTCCAAATGATTCCGTAAGCTATTACAGATGAAGATGACGATGAAAAGTTGCATGGTTTGAACTGAGAACCACTGCCAATTCCTCAACTGATAAAGCAGGATTTTCTTCAAGGGCTGCTTCAAGAAGCTTTTCATCAAACTCAACTGGATGTCCGGTTCGATCTTCATCTTCAAGGGTGAAATCTCCACCTCTGAATTTTGTAAACCATCTTCTGCAAGTTCTTTCATTCACACATTCCTCTCCATAAACTGAGTGAATGTTTCTAGCCGCTTCGGCTGCTGAGTTTCCTTTCTTGAACACATAAAGCATTATGTGCCTCAAATGATTCTTGGGTACTTCCATGTTAGGAGGGTTTTAATCAAACAAAATTTAATTTTATTGTTCTCTGAAATAAAATTTGATCAGTTTAAATGCATCTAAACATAAAAATAATGTTCAGCTCCATTAGACATTATAAAATACTCTTTAAATTTCATTCATTTTAACAAAAAGTTAAAATTCAGACAGAACTTATGTGATGACCTGATATTTATATATTTTCACCCAGTGTTACTTTTGTGACGAGCAGCTCACTTACTCAGTAGTAATAATAATGTCGTTTGAATAAATAATATTATAATGAACTTGGGATAGATAGAGGCGATCTTTTGAGGTATAAAGAACTACAAGAGACAGCAAGGTGTGGAGGACCATGAGAGTCCATGTCCTAAAGGGACACGGTACATAAAGAAGAAGTGAGCTTTGTGGATAAAATTAGTTTATGCATGCTCTCTAAACTCGCATACGATACAGAACTCTTTTTACGTCATTTTAAAATAAATAAACGTATCAAACATGGCGTCAGTTATGTACCATGCGTGATACACGCTTAGGCGATCATGTATCTTTTGATACATGACTGACAAGGCAGATTTTTTTTCCCACAGTAAGTTGCCATTTCTTTCTGCGGTAGACCAGTTGCCATCTATCCAGGTCTATAGAACCCGGTTTGTCCTGCTAGTTATCCATAGCTGAAGAAGAGGTTTCATACCTTTACCAAGGGTATTAGCACGTACCCTTGGGAAAGATATGAATCCTTTTCTTCTCCCCGTAGCTATGGGTAAATAGCAGGACAGACCAGGTTCTATGGTCCGGTCTGTCCTGCTATTTACCCATAGCTGGAGGAGAAGGGAGAATCATGGCATACAATATGGTAATTACTTTTTAAGTTTGTGTATTCGGTGAGGTGTTGAAAAGCCACTTTCTTCAAATCTGACGAAACAAGCACCTGTCAGAAACTTTAGGGAAGGTCTTCTTGGTCGTACTGAAAACTTTTCAGCCGCTCCCCTTGTACACATCGTAGCCGTGTTGTCATGTGGTAAATGGAAGCCATGCCCGGAAACATCTGGTCGTTATAGCAAACGTAGATTACGATATACACTTTTATAGATAAACAGCACGTTCTTAAATAGCCTCGTCAGATCTGTCTAAAATATCAGCTATAAGCAACCGTTTTCTTTGATCTATGATTAAAAATGGCTTTAGGCGGATGAACCCTGTAGATCCTAAAGAAAAGAAGCCTTCATCTGATCTTACAGACTGGCGCTAAAGGATCATAAACGAAGAGCTTATACCAAATAACAAAAACCTCATCACAAAGAATTTGCAATATTATTGGTCCTGACCTCGCATCTCGGCTTCAGTCACTTTCCTACTGTCGTAAGGTAGCTTCCCCGTGCGTCTTCTATGAATACTTTCATGGTAATTTTTCTGATGAACTTTCCTGTATCGTACCTAGACTTTGTGAATTTAAGCGCAGTACTAGGTTGGCGGCAAGGTCTCATCATTTTACAATTGAAATGGATAAATGTTACCGTAAATTCTATGCTAACGGTTTCTTTTCTCACACTTCTCACTTTTGGAACCATCTCCAGGCTTCTTGCTTCCTAGTCAACTTTTATCTTCAAAAATTTAAATATCAATGTCTATAGTTATCTTCTGTCTTTTTAATTCCTGTTCTTTTATTGTTCTCTTTCTTGAATAATGTTTTTGTTTTTCTTATATTCTTTCACACCCAGTCTTAGTTGTGTCTTAGTGGCTTTATTTGGGTAAAATGATTAAAAAAATCCCCGAAGACTCTCACAGGATGAAAGAAAAGAGTGACTTCTTAATTTTAACGCCTCTAAAGCAAATCTGCCTTTTATTAATCGTCTGAAAGAACCCTTTCTGCCTTCCATCAGTATGGCTGATGCTAACCCCCAGAAGAGCGACTCATTGCGCCTTTTCGGGCTAACGTTTTCTGCTGACATGAAGTCGAAAGATAATATTTGATCGATTACTAGAGCTGCTGCTCTGAAACTTTGTTCATTGTGTCGTGATAGACATTTTTTCTTGCCCGAACCCATCTTACATATATATAAGCCTACCATCCATTTTGAATATTGCAGCCACGTATGGTCCCGTGATCCTGCTATATATATAAAATTCAAAAAGAATCTGCAATCTCATTGGTCCTAACCAGGCATCTCGGATTCAGTTACTTTCCAAATGTAGCTTCACTATGCCTTTTCTATAAATAGTATCATGGTAATTGTTCTCACGAACTTTATGAATTTAAGCGCAGTACTAAGTTGGCGGCAAGGTCTCATCATTTTACAGTTGAAATGGCTAGATGTAACCGTAAGTTCTATGCTAACAGTTTCTTCTCTCGCACTTCTCCCTTGAGGAATTCTCTTCCAGTTTCTTGCTTTCCAAGTCAACTTTGTTCTCCTGTCTTCTTAGTTCCTAATCTTTTACTGTTCTCGCTCCTTCATTTTTTTCTTTTTTCTTACATTCTTTCACACTCAGTTTGCGTCTTAGTGACTTTATTGCCCTTCTTCAGGTGAGATGTTTAAAAAAGTATCATGATAAAATTCAAAAGCTGTAACCCTAATAGAAATATTAGCTAAGATCTAAGTAGGAATTCCTAGTATATACTGATATTACAATCTGTAGTTTTATCAAGCCATTGATAGATTGCATATAAAAAATCACATTTCAAACAAATCTACTAAGAGAAAACAGCGTTTCTTTTTTCTTTACTCAACTTTCTTTTTTTTTTTAGTCATTTCACCCCAAGCAAGGTGATAATGCCGCTCAGACGTAAGGGGTTACTGGGATTGAAAGAGAATGAGAAAACTTTTCGAGAAACCAGAAACCCAATCCTAAACAGGAAACAAGTGATTATATCAGTTGCTAGGTCTACTGTTAGGAATGTTGGTTGACTATGTCGTACAAGACAGTTTCTTTCTCGTCAGAATCCATATTGTCCATTTATAAATCTACCATTTCTTTGTGCATTGAATACTGCTGCCATATCGGCTCCGGTGCTATATATCTCAAGATCCTGTAATATAATAGATCCTGACCTGGCATCTCGACTTCAGTCACTTTTCACAGTCGTGATGTGGTTTCCCTCTGTGTTTTCTGTTAAGTATTTTCATGGCAATTGTTCTGATGAACTTTATTTCTTCGTACCTCAATTGCATGAATTTAAGCGCAATACTAGATTGGCAACTAGGTCTCATCATTTTAGTGTTGAAATAGCTAGATGTAACCGTAGGTTCTATTGCAATAGTTTCTTCTTTCGCACTTCTCGCCTGTGGAACTCTCTTCTGGTTTCTTGGTTCCCTGACATACAATCTTCAAAAATTCCAGTCCAACGTCAATCGCTATCTTCTATCTTTATTGTTTTTTTATTGCCCTTTCTCTTCACTAAAGTCTTCTCATTCTCTTTCACTCCCAGTAACACCTTACGTCTTAGGAGCATTATTGCTTTGCTTGAAGTGAAATGATTTCTTAAACAAATGTCTAGAGACCGCCGGTGTCGTGATAAAGATATCACAAAGTTTGTGTCCTATGAAATGGGGGTAGTCAGGTAGGGGATGACCCTTGTTATCTAATCTGGAGTTAAGGGCAAAGTTAATTGCGAAGAAATTAGCCTTATCTGATGAGGATGAGATAACCCCAGGGACATTTATAATAGTAAGCACTGAAAGTTTGCCGAGATTGATATATAAATATATATTTATTCTCCAGAATTGAAGGGAAGCAAATTTTAGTTTTCCATTTTGAATCAGAATGACTGCGCATAACTGCTTTTTGCACTTTCCAGAACTCACCTGCATGATTTGCAATTGTTCCGATGTGTCATGGTTACGGTGAGCTCTGCTTGCAGCTCATTTTAGCGTCAATTAAGACGAATACACATGAATGGGTGGGAAAGGTGATCCATTGGAAAGTGTTCAAGCGACAGTATTTTGCCCATAGATATCAACGTTATATTCACAGATTAGAATCTACCCTTGGAACCTAACACTTAAAATCCTTTGTGACTTTCAGACTCCAATGGATCCCCCAATTCTGGCCAGAAGACCAGATCTGCGAGTTGTAAAGAAAAAGTAGAAAATGTCGTAAATATTGCTCTTTCGGCTCACCACAGATTAAATTTAGAAACATTAAGGTTGTACCAAACGTTATAGGCGCACTGGGAGCACCCCCGAAAAAGAAAAGAAAAGAGGGTGTAGGAACTAAAGATTAAAGTAAGAGTCGAGACCATTTATACATCAGCGCTGCCAAAAATAATCAGAAAACTAATCAGGGTGCTGGAGTATTAAGTAAACTTGCTGTCAATTGATTCCCATTGTAAACCACCAGCTACTACCATTTTAAAAATAGAATCTGTTTAAACATGACCTTTGTTTTTTGTTTTTTTTTTTTACTGTAGTTCATCCGATACATGGCGCCTCAAGGTAGAGGGTAGAGAGTAGATTTTTGAAAAGGAGAGAAAAGTGGGTGGTAAAAGTGCATATTATGAAGATATGTAGGATAGATATCGGTGGACTCTAGAATTGAAGAGATGAAGAGTTTAGTGGTCAGGGAAGTTTCCTATCGGGAGTATGTTCCACAAAGTAACTGTTCTGGAGAAGAAACTGACTGAGTGCAACTTACTCTTTACCAAAGAGACACCACAGAAATAGGGATGATTTGCCATCGTTAATGAGGTATGGTGGTTCCTAGTTGTGAAGGTCCGAACTGGTGGAATAAAGGAATGTAGCTCATCTGAATATCTACCATAGTAATCGTGATAGAGTAGTGAGAGGCTATAAAAGTTTCGTCTGTGGAATAAAGGTGGAGAATAATTCATCACCAACAAGACCTTTCGAACTCTGTCGACGCTGGACAATGAGGACTTGGCAGATATGGCAGAAATACTTCATTTTAGGTTGAATAGCAACAGGAGGTAGGTATTTTCTGGAACGATACAAGGAAGTATCCATTCTTTTAGCATCTTTAACGATGGCATGAATATAAGAGTTTCATTCTTCATCTGTTGAGAAGAATGAACCTGAAAAACAACAGCGTCTTGCCAAAGAACTAAAGTACTTGTGCAACATTGGAATCAGAATCGCTTCTATCTTCACTGAAAGACTGAATGGTTTCAAGATGTCTTGAAGTGAAATTCTCCAATGTATACACTTGATATTGAGGCGTTATTTGGTAGCATCAGTGAAAATGCCTGCAAAATGCAATAAGATGACCAGAGGCTCGTAGATCGAGCTCTCACCTCTCAGTGGGGTTGAATCCTCCTCATTCACTTTTCTTTCCAAGTAACGCTACTTTGTGGACGGAATCCCGCGGGAGTGCTTACCTGAACACTAGAAACCTAATCTATTCAATCTAGGTTCAATCTTTATCTATCCATATCCTCACACTCTTCACTTTCTACTTCCTCCTCTTATAGCCATACAATACACCTCATTTAGTAACCCTCTACCTTGAATGGCTCTTAGGCCTTTTAATGGGTGAATATTAGTAAAAACACAAAAGGAAGTATAAGGAAACTTGTTGTCACTTGATCCAATCTTTAGATTGCTCTGATTTGGAGGTACATATTCATAAAGAATGATAGCAGGAATATAAGAGGGATGATAAAAATGTATCGGGACTTGCGCTGTAAAAAGAAAACTACCGCACCTATCAATTCGGCATTTAATCTCCTTCGAAGTAATTCCATTATTAAGCCACACACTTTATCCAGCGTCATTCCCATTGATGGAAGCAGTCCTGGAACTCCAGCTACCTCGTTTCATTTTCTCCGATTGCCTCGAGGTTTTGAAATATTGTTCTTTTCAAGTGGAATTTGGTTTTTAAAAAGAGGAATTATACGCAAGGTGCGAGATCTGGATAATATGGTGGTTGTCGGATCTGGGGAATGTTGTCTCTAGCCAAAAACTGCTGCACAAGTCATGGCTATTGATGGAATTTTTGTGGTGGGGTGAGACGACCACACTCTACACACTTTCCTACCAAGCACTGCTATAAACAACGAAAAACGAGCAAGAAGGTTATAACTTAGTGTGTATGCTCGACAGATTTCAAAGTCAGTCCGTGTCAAGCAGCTTCACTGTGCATACTTTAACTCCATTACTATAGTCCCGATAGATTATGATCTGACCTAGCATATCCACGTATTCTTACATGCATTCATCTAGTACACAATCATATCTCATCAAAACATTTAAATCTACATTAAAAAAATCAATTTAAATGCACATTAAGAAAGCTAATCGTTTTCATACCAGAAATATCTATAGTACTTGTCAAGGCAGTAAATTACATCCGGCAGCAAGGCCTCTGATCGTGAGATTTGAGGGTTTTAGAAGCCTGAAATCACCTCTTAATTGCTGTTGTTTCCAGTCCAGCCTGACCCGAGGTAGTAGCACCTGTTAGGGTCCCAGCTATGGGCAAATAGTGAACCTCCAAACAAAAACAAAAGACTATGAAAGTATAAAAATATATTTTTATAGTAAAATACCAGGAATTTATAATATATATATATATATATATATATATATATATATATATATATAATAAAAAATCTTGGTATGGATAATCCTAAGGAGGATGAGATCCTGAGAGCTCAATGTTAATTCAGAGCTAATAATTTAAAAAAAAAACTAAAAATTTTATTTCTAGCTCAAGCCATAAGATTGTGTTCAAAATATTTAGACTTTGGCATTAAATAACCCATAGAGGTGTTGATATGCCGCTAAACAGAATCAACTAATCTATACTGTTTATACTTGGAAAAGTCCAACAACATTACAAAATAAGCCAAAATATAGTGATTTTCCTAGCGTAGCTTAGATGTGACACAA